ATGACAACCACAGCTATATTCTATATAGATGTTCTTACTACTGTTAGATGATGTCATGAAGTCTCCCAATCCTGATAAAGAAAATCTTTGATGTGTGATAAAAATGTGCTGCTATTTTAACTGATATATATATTTTAAATTGTATTACTATATTAAGGTTAATTAAATGCAATTAATTAATGTATTATATATTTATTTTTCTTTCATTATTATATATTAAATATATACTTCTATTTAAATAATCTTGTGATTTTATGTTTCTACATTTTAACTATTTGTTAGGATATTACTAAAATAATATAATTTTTTAAGCTGATATAGATCTGGACTTGTTTTCTCTTACTCTGGTGGTTTATAATCTTATATATAATCTCTAAATTTGCTATCAGAATCACAAACATAACCAGTTAAATAACATTTCAGGATAAGCTATAAGCACCAATGGGTGAATTATTTCCTGTTTTTATTAACTTTAACTTTCCCCAAGATTCATACATATTTCTTATCACAGTGGCTAAGCTCAGTGTACTTTTCTGGTCTTTGCACACTTTTTTTGGCAATATGATTGAATATTTACAAACACATACATGTATATATATTTGTCACTTTTTTGCTTAAATTCTGCTGTATTTTCCCCATAACCTTTCGGACAAGGTCCAAGTTCCTTAACTTATATTATAATATAACAACTCTGGCCATTACCTTCTCACTCTATGGATTTCAACCCTTTCCACTGCTAACTTTTGCCTGTGGGCAGGTTCAGCACAAGTTGCTCCTCCTGGCTGAAGTAGTTTTCTCCCTTCTCTCTATCTGGCTAGCTCTCCTATACATCCTTCAGAGATCCATTTAAACTTTCCTTTTTTGTTTTTGTAAAATTTTGTCAATTCCCTAGGCTAGGTTGGATATACATGCTCTGTGTAGTTTCTCTGTTGTAGCACTTATTTTTCACATTATTGTTTTTATTAGTGAATGTTCTCTGCAGCAGGCGGAGTGCCACATAGGTAGGAATTAAGTTGTTTATCAATCTCTGTTCTCACAGTTGGGAAGGGTTTAATAAATAATGTTTACATAAAGTTTAGTGAGAAAAGTTATAATTAGCCTTATTGCATTAATCCATTGTTTATCTTTTAAAGTATAAATAAATAGTATATGCACATTGAAACTTTTTTTTTTTAATTAAAGCAAGGATGGACTTCCAAATCATGGGCCACACAGAATCCTTGCCCTCCTGTGTAAGTCACATTTTCTCACATTTGAACTCTTTAATGGGTAAATATTTATAATATACTGACAAAAAAAGAAGGCAAAGTATATATACATGGCTATGATTGTAAACTACAGAAAACTTTACATGCAGGTAGGTGGCCTAAAATTACTATGTCAAAATTAACTAAAATAGCTCTTCTATAGGATTGGTAGGATTAAGGGTAATACTTCTCTTGTTTTTGCTTTATTTAATATTGTTCTTCCATATTCCTGGACAATTTTAAATATTGTTTTATTTAGAAAATTTAGTTAAGTGCATTTATTAAAGAAATACATAAAAATTTGCATTTTATAACTAGGATAGTCCAAATGAATTTGATGGGAATTCTGTCTGTACTTGTATCTTGAGGAACATGGATTTATTTTGAACTAGATTACATTGACTTGTTTTATACTGTATATTTTCCCTTTTTAAAATTTGAAAGTATATATATCCTTCCAAGTATTTTAGACTACAAGGCATTCTGGAAAATAGAAATTAAACTTAATAATTATGAGGCTGAGCCCCATGAAATTGGCAAGTATTAGACATTTCTTGTGAGTCTACATAATAGTACCTGCATACTCACCTAGACAAGGAATGGAGCTGGGTACAAACACTAGATACAAGATGTTGAGTATGTAACAACAGTCAATTGTGTGCTGGTAAATGTTTTTAACAACTGGTTTTCTGAAACTGTACTATAAATTTAATATAAATTTTAATTGTTAATTGTAAAGAATTTTAAGTATATTTTAAGTTGATTATACATTTTCATAAAGGATTTGAAGCAAAAAATTGACAAGTACTAATAAAACGTATAAGCCCTTTATTGTAAATTCTATATAGCCAATTTATTATCACAGAAATATATCTTTTTGTTTTGTTTTAAAATTCTTAGCCGAGGATATTTTGTTTCCATTGAGGTTTAGAGGGGAGGGGAGGAAGAAGATGGGGGAGAGAGAAAAACATGTCCAGGAGAGAGATACAGCCATTGGTTGCCTCCCGAACTTACCCGGACTAGGGCCTGGGGTGGAGTTCTCAATGGAGGCACGCACCCTTGACTGGGAATTGAACCCACAACGCTTTGATCTTTGGGCCAATTCTCCAGCCACTGAGCCACTCCAGCCAGAGCAAGATGTCTTTGTTTTTTGCTGAATTCTTCTATCTGTAGCCAACCTATGGTTGGAATTGATGAACTGTATAGTTCCAAAATGAGTGTTGGTTGATATTTTTATTTATTGTAAGGTGACGTGAGTGATTTCTCTATTGAATCAGGTGATACTTTTGAATACTGAAACAATATTTCTGTGTTGTTGTTGTTTTGTTGTTGTTGTTATTCACAGTGTCACAGAGAAGACATGATACACTTTTAAGTTTTTTCTGCATTATTTAACATTTTCTCCATCACTTTGTAAAGTCTCAGAAATCAATGAAGTAATAAATTAAGTCCTGATTCATATTATTTTGCCAGTTTCTATGTAAATAATACCATTGTGTTTGATTTCAAGTTACCTATAGAATAACATCATTGAACACAGAGTTGGAAAGAAATGTCTACTATTATATCATATTACTACACAGACAAGAATAACTTCTGGCATACAAATAATAGCAAAGGATAGTAATATCATTAGGAGGTAAACCATTGGCATCTGTGTACCATTTTATGTAAGATGCAGCATAGATGATTTGTAACAATTAAAGTCTCTTGTTTTTAAAGTTATGGGCTACATAGATTTTTTTTTTCTTTTAGGGTTCCACGCCTTGATTTGGGAAGCCTTATTGACTCTGATGATGAGGTAATTTTTACTTCATATTTAATATATCAAACATTTGAACACAATATTATATGTAGCAGATAATAAATTATCATTTAATTTTATTTTTAGGATGATTTTTTATATATTCCACTTAGAACAGCGCATATTTATTTTGACCCACCAAATTCATCATCTGCTCTTGATTGGGTCACACCACGTCAAATACCATATACCCAACAACATCTAAATAAACTGGTTAGTATTTAGTTCTTATAACCAACATTCTGAATTATAGTGTGCATTTTAGCACTGTATTTAATCCAGATGTTTTATTATGCTTAATCTATGTCTTGTTCAGTTTAAGGATTTAACATACTAATATCCCAAACAATAGTGCTGGTGCAGTAATATTACTGTGCTTCATGTTTTTTTCTCACAGAGGAATGTTATTATTAAAGTGCCTTATAAAATTGGTAAAGCATAGGATTATCCTAATAGGAAATCAGGAATTTAAAATTATGGCAGAATATTAGATCAGCTCTTGCTCATTTAAAAATATAAGATTTGTTTCTTGGAAATTGACTCATTCTTGAGGCTACTAGTAAGTTATGGAAGAAATAATTACAAGATATCTCCTTGGGACATATTTGTATTTCACACATTATTCCGTGTTACGAACACAAATTCTGACTAGAATTCTATGAGTAAAAGGCATGCCTTGCTGTCTATGTTAGTCTTTCTCACGTAACTGGCTCTGTTCATGTTCTCATCAGTTTTATTTTGGGTAAATTGCACCAATAGTATCCTAGTTTATATCATGTTACAGTTTTGCCTGAAGATTTGCCTCATCCTTCTCCTCTGGGTTAGTCTCGGATATTATCAATAATTTTCAAGAGTTGTGCTGGCTTTTAAAGCGACTGTCCCCCTTTGGGCCATTAAGTATGTCCTAGTATTTGTCTATCACTTGTTTTAGGTCTCTCTTATCCAATGCCTCTGTTATGTCTCACTCCCATGGAAGTGTGGCAGGGGCCCAAATAATACCAGAAGATAAACATCTTAACATTCTGGAAATGGGAACCATCTCAGTATCAGTGATTTGTAATTCCTATGACCCTTCTGGAAGAAATGGTTGACAGTGGAGTTTTTCTGGGGCAGGAAAAAAAAAAAAAAAAAAAAAAAAAAAAAGCCTAAAAGGAAAGAAAAGATGATCATTGATCATTGTCCTCTCAAATTATCTTAGTACCAGGGAAACAAGGTATGGGCTCACTGGAGTTAAAGGCCAGTGCCCGTTCTCAGCAGTTCTGTCTGCTCTGGTTGCTGTGGTGCTGCACAGCTAAAGGTTTTAACTATCGCCTCTTTTAGGGCGTGGATATAATTGTCGTTTCTTAGGCATACATGTTAAGGCAAGTGATAAACCTGTTAATGTTAGCCAGGCAATGAATAATGATTTTGATTTTTTTTCCTGGTGGATTTACTGTTTCTATTTGTCTTAGGAGCAGGACGTTATACCTGAAGATTTGCCAGCACCAACAGGCCAATACAAACTAAAATATCAGCAATACAAAACTGAAATGAAAGAAGGATATAAACAGTATTGTCAGAGAAATGCAGAAAAGAGAAAATCAAATATCAGACATCAACCATCTCCAAGAAACAAGATAGATGACAAGGTAATGTATGAGGCTTTATAAAATTCTAATGAAATTCTGAAAAAAGAGTACACATATTATAGAAACATCTTCTTGTCTGATATGTGTTGCTGTTAGTCATAATAAGTGTCCCCTGGGACCAGTTTAAGTATTTTACTCAGATTAACTAATTTATTCTTTACAATTACCCTAAATGGTTATTGCTACCATTTTCAGATGTGAAAACTTTAGCCATATGACAAGACCTTATCATCTTTTCTCTGTTGGAAATTTTTCTCTGTTGGAAATAAGATAGTATATCTGTTTTTGATGTTACTGCCTTGAATTCTGTCTTCCAGTCTAAATCGATAAACCCCGATATACCTTACCAATCCTTGCCAAATCAGCCTATATACCGCCATCTTCAGCAAACCCTACTAAAGGAACTACAGTAAGCACAAATATTAACATAAAAACGTTAGGTCAAGGTGTAGCCTATGGATTGGAAAGCAATGGGCTACATTTCCCTAAACTGAGGATAATTATTACAAAAACTCGCGTGAAACCACTAGTCAAAGGAGGATTTAGCAGTAAATTAAGAATAGAGTGCTTAATTGAATAAGGCCATGAGGCACGCACACACCGCCCGTCACCCTCCTCAAGCAAAAACATTATCTATTCCATAGGAAATAAGTCGTAACAAGGTAAGTGTACTGGAAAGTGCACTTGGATAACACAAAATGTAACTTAACCAAAGCACTTAGTTTACACCTAAAAGATTTCAAACAAGATTGAACATTTTGAAACTAAGCATAGCCCATAACTCAAACTTCACAAAATTATTATAAAAACTAAAACAAAACATTTACAAATAACTAAAGTATAGGTGATAGAAATTTTATCTGGCGCTATAGAGGAAGTACCGCAAGGGGAAGCTGAAAGAAAATTTTAAGTAATAAACAGCAAAGCTTAACTCTTGTACCTTTTGCATAATGATTCAACTAGTAAATACTAGCAAAAAGAATTAAAGTTAGGTCCCCCGAAACCAGACGAGCTACCTGTCAGCAGCCAACAGGACGAATTCATCTATGTAGCAAAAATAGTGAAACGACTGCCAGGTAGTGGCGACAAACCTACCAAGCCTGGTGATAGCTGGTTATCCAGAACTGAATTTTAGTTCTAATTTAAATCTACCTAACAAATAAGCAAATTATAATGTAGATTTAAATAATAATCTAAAAAGGTACAGCTTTTTAGATAAGGAATACAACCCCTATTAGAGAGTAAATCACAACTTGACCACAATAGTTGGCCTAAAAGCAGCCATCAACTAAGAAAGCGTTCAAGCTCAACAGTTGAAAAGTGGTTTTATAATGACTTTATAAAAGTCATTATAATTTTATAATGACTTTATTTTTTTCTAAACCTACCATTACTCCATGATTGTCTTATGTTCATTTTGAGAGATGTGTTTTAACAACATGAATCCCTAAAATTGTTATGCTTTTATTTAATATTAATTAGGTATAAATTTTGTAAGAGTAAGACTTAATGAATTTAATGGCTTTCCAGATACATACAGGAGAGGTCAATCTTGAATTTTGGAAAGAAAAGTTTGGAAATAGTTTATGATGCAACTGGACATAAAGAAGAGAACAGTTGTATACAATTCTTTTTATATATATATATATATTTTATTGATTTTTGTACAGAGAGGAAGGGAGAGAGATAGAGAGTTAGAAACATCAATGAGAGAGTCATTGATCAGCTGCCTCTTGCACAGCCCCTACTGGGGATATGCCCGCAACCAAGGTACATGCCCTTGACTGGAATCGAACCCGGGGCCCTTCAGTCCCCAAGCCGACGCTCTATCCATTGAGCCAAACCGGTCCCGGCTGTATACAATTCTTAATTTTTAACTTTTTATAAAAGTAATCTATTTTCAGGGAAGTTTGATAGTTGTATTTGGTTAGTTTGTATTTTTCTATAGGTAGGAAAGATTAATTTATAAGCATGTGTGGCATATCAGCTAGTTTTTTCAATCCAGGTAGGAATTATTTAGAACTAACTAATTCACAAGCTGTTTAGCTGAAAGCATTAACAGCAAAAGTTATGGGGTTATTAGGTGTCCCTTGTATTAAAACAAAATTCCCAGATCAAAAAAATGCACACAAGTATAATAATCTATAACAGGCGGGATAATTTCATAATTTTTTCACATCTGATGAGAAGATTTTGAAGATTGAGCTGAGAAAACTTGCTAATGGATTTCTTGTAGGCTTAGAGAAAGGAAAGAAGAAGATTGGTGCTAAGGCTTTTGCTTTGAACGATTGAAAGGGTGGGGAAGACCACAAGGAAATCTGGTTTGAGGAGGTTAAATTTGAGATACCAAGTGGAAATGCTACGGTTTCCCCTGTGTAAAGGTTAAAAACAAGCTGAAACAAAACCAAATACTTTTCAACTTTTTTCAACTTAAACATAATGTAGAATTTTATGTCTAAAAGAAAATCAGATAAAGATATTAGCAGTAAATACATAAAGGCAAAAAATATCCTCATCCATTGATTCTCGATAGTTAACACTTGAACAAGATTCATCATTCATTCATTGAATAAATATTCATCAAGCGCATCCTCTGTGTGTTCCTCTTTCTGGCACCAGGGAACTGCAACGAAAAGGACAGGCACAGTCCCTGCCCTCATGGAACCTATAACAGGAGAGGCAGGCACAAATCACACCTAGATGTGTAGTAAGATCCCCTGTAGCAATCAAGGCCATGACAACAGAGTCGAGTGTGAAGATAGACCTTTCAAGAAGTTTCTCCAGTTGCAATCCTACTGGAACACTTCTGTTGTTGTTTAGGGAATATAGCACATCTTATATGCAGAGAAATAGTTAGTGGTTATCTCTTTAGGACCCCAAAGAATTTTTACCTCAAAAGACACACCCTTCTTTTAGTACTTTACCCCCAAATTTAATTTTAGAATAAGTGTGCTTACATTTATTAACTTTACAAAGACTTAAATGGACAATAATAGTTATAATAGTTACTACCTTTTATTTAATGCTTGCTGTATGTCAGGTATTTTTTTTTTTAAGTGTGGGACATGTGTCATCTCATTTCATCTTTTTCTGTGTGTGTCTGTGAAGTAGTTACTATTGTTAATTCCCATTTTCATGAGCGAACCACGGCGCAGAGAGTTCATCTATCTAGAAAGTGGAAGAGCTTGACTTGAGCAGGTAGTGTGATCTTCAGAGAGCCTGTACTGTTAACCCCTCCACAAATAATCACTGACATATCCAGTGGTTCTTTTAAAAAAATATTCAAAGTATGTGCCTGAGAGTTGATTTATTGCTTTCGTGTATAGCATGCCCAAGGGGAAGAAGCCATCACAGATGACCTTACAACTCTGGATAGGAAAGCCCTCTTACAGCAGCGTTATGCGGACAACCCTTCCCATGCACAGCAGAGTACAAGAAAAGCTAACGCTGTAAGTTACCAGTCTGTCTACTTATTATTTGATAAGCCAGTGAGATAATTTGCCCTGCAAGGTTTTACAGAGTTATCACTGAATAAATAATTTCAACAATTAAGTTTGGATTGAGATGAACATTCATTAATGTGCATATCGAGTCCTCATTTTAATAAATGATTGACATTTGGTCTATTCACTGTGGAGAAATTGTCTTGAATCCTTGAGAGTTTGTAAAAATTTTGTTTATAAAGTTCCTAATGTTAACTGGCTGCTCTTTGTCAGTGGGCTTATTTGGCATTGACTCTCCCAACAGTAGTCTGATTATGTTTTTCAAAGTCAGAAGCTAAGAATGCTAGAGAAATTCAGAACTCCTAAAGAAAAGGATAGGAATTTTTTAAAAAAACTCTTTAGCAAAAGGGAAGTAAAACTTTATACTCTCAATATTAACTACATTATAACTTTTACAAAATCAATATTGTTTGATGGGAATTGCTTAGACCAGTTCTGGTACAAATAAGATAATTATACCATTTCTTTTATATTGACATTAAAATAAAAGTTTTTTCAATGGAAATATTTTACTTAATGTTTAAATATTAAATTAAATATTTTACTTAATGTTTTTTCAATAGAAATATTTTACTTAATGTTTAAAAAGTTGTTTACTTTTTAAAAATTAAATTAATTGGGGAGACATAGCTAATAAAGTGATACAGGTTTCAAGTATGTAATTTTGTGATATACCATCTGCACATTGCATTGCGCCCACCACCCATCAGACCACCTGCTTGAAGTTGGAATCCAATGGCCACCCCAGACACTCCTGGGTGGTGAAAATCTTAGGGACACTTGTAATGGATTGATAGAAATCCAGCGAGTATTGGCTCAAAAGTTGGGAAAATTCATATTTAGATAAACTGAATAACAATAAAGCAATATGGATCCAGCTGGTTACATGTTCGTTATCATTGAAGGGAAAGTGAATGTATTTTTATTTTGGTCAAACTCATCCAGAATCACTGTCTTCTGATAGTATTGTGAAATCAGTCTCCGCCAGGCAGTTTTTTGTGGATGTCCCAGGTTGCTAACTTGTTGTAGTTCTTTTACTAAAACCACAGAACATTATTTTCTATGCCTATTATTATTTAGATATTGATCTTTAATAGAATATGGAATATTAGCAGGGTCATTCTAAAGATAAAGAAGCTACTTTATAAGGCAACATAGTGTCTCAGATAAAGGTTCTTTGATATTTGTCTAAAGTTACACTTGAAATGCATGTCACCAGTGCTTAAGGTCAGTTGGGTTTTGTTCTTTGTGTAATTCAAAGCCACCAGTGTTAGTGGAATTCTTTTCCTTACAATTCCGTTATTAGTGACAATACATCTAAATTCACTCTCAAGTACATTTCCCTTGATTGTGGTAGCCCTCATTTATCTGTGCTTTTCAAGGAAATCTTTATGTAAGTACACTTTGAACACATCAAAATTAGTATGCATTTATTTTTAAAATGTAGGGGCAACTTTTTAATTTAATATTTAGCCACCTAACTGGATGACAGAAGCAGTGAGAATGAGGTTTCTGTTTCACATCTTCTAGTTTGCTTGTCGTTTTTCAATGTGATCAGATTCTTTGCACCAGTGTGACTTCTGCATCTAATCTGCTTTATGCTTACACAAACCTCTAAATCAATGTGCCTCGGGGTGGTTCTGACCTTTCCAAAAAGTATAAGTCACCATAAATGTCAACAGTTACTATGGGCTTTCTGCATGGGCTCTATATTTATTAACCTCAGCTCTTTTATTCTCTTGTTATTGGTGTAATTAGCTAGTTTTTTTTTATATTGATAATGGGAAGAGAGCAAAGAGGAGGCCGGATGTTGTAAGCATGGCCATCTGGGCAGCTTCACCAGGAAGCTACAACATCACATTTCCCATGGGAACCACTGGTCCATTTCCGGAAGATCGCTGGGAGAAGGAATCAAATAAAAGTGTAGAAGGATGCATGCAGAGTGAAGTCGGGGTGATGTAGGAAAGGTGCCTGTGTGTCAGTCCAGCCTGGGGAACAATGGATTGGCTAGGGGGAGGATCCCATCAGAAGCATGCCAAACCTTGGAAAGTTAAAATCTCCAGATAGGCTCCCTCTTGCTCCGTGACCAGCACTGTTCTCTCTCCATAGCCACGTGGTCTTCAGCGGTGCATGGCCAAGGCTGTGCGAGCCTCACATGCAATGGACTGCAGCTGGGAACACAAGCTAAGCTAGTCAGAGGCTAGACTAGATGGACTTTACTATGAAGCAGAAATTCTGGGCAGTGGCCTTGATTCTGACCCCATTGAAGACATAGTTGGATTCTTTCAATGGTGGGACCTTGGAGGGGAACCCCCTTAATTTTACATAATCAATAAGGCTTTCTACTATCCCCCATCATCCCATGGGGTCTCAGGAAATTCTTTTCCTCATGCACCCCAAGAGCTTCACTTCCACCAATAACACTTCTGGGTTTTACATCTCTGTTCTGGCTGAGCTTTTTTATTATTTTTTATATAGTTTCACATTTTAGACAGCATCCACTTTCTGAATCACCCTTGCATATAAAATGCTTTACTTGTAAGTTATACAATTGTTCTAACTTATTAAAAATCATTATAATTTATCACAAGCTTAAGACCACAAGATGCAGTTATATATTAAACTGGAGGCCCGGTACATGAAATTCATGCCTTGGGGGGTCCTTCAGCCCAGCCTGTGCCCTCTCCAATCCAGGACCTCTTAGAGAATGTCCAACTGCTGATTTAGGCCCGATCCCTCTCTCAATCCGGGACTGCTGGCTCCTAACCACTTGCCTGTCTGCTAGCCTGATGCTCCTAACTGTTCCTTTGATTGTCCCTAACCACCTCTATCTGCTCTCCTGATTGCCCCCTAACTGCTCCCCTGCCAGCCAGTTCACCCCTTACTGCCTTCCCCTGCCAGCCGGTCACTTTTAGCTGCCCTCCCTTGCTGGCCTGATTGCCCCTCACTGCCTCTGCCTCAGCCTCTGCCACTGTGGCTTTGCCCAGAAGATGTCCAGTCTAATTAGCATATTACTCTTTTATTAGTCTTATGATATGAATTCCAATGAGGCATATTTGAATGTGTAAAGCATACATCTTAAATTTTTACCAAACAAACATTTGAATTCAATTGAAGACTAACAATTAAATGGTCATGCCCAGTGTTTCCAGGTTTTCTTAGGAGTTTATACTTTTTGTTTTTATAATATACCTTTAGTTATTAAATTTTGTGTCAGTTTCAAACATCATTCTCTCTCTAATGTTACAAAGCCTCTATCTTAAGCAACATTACATACTTGATTTCATTTATTGGAATGATTCATGGGGATGGATGACAATAATTTATATTCTGAAAATAGAACAAGTTTTATTTGACTTCTTAATTTTTTCAACTTTTTAACTTATCTTTCAAAAGAAACATTTTAGTGATTAGAGATACATGATAATCTACTTGGACTTGAGTGATTACAAATTAGTTTATGAAATCTAAAATGCAGTAAAAATACTTTTGGAAAAGCAAAAAAATACTATGAAATAGTTTAGTCAAAAACATTAATTGAGAAAAGTTGATCAAGGATTATTAATGGATTATATGCATCAAAAATATTATTTTAATGATGTGAGTCTTTTGTTTTTTATTTTTTATATAGCATTAATGATTCAATTCAATTTCATTTTCAGGTACTGGGGATGGTTTATATTTTAGGGCTCTTGTGTTAGTTGTAGTATTATTCTGCTTTATGGTCAGTGATTTTCTTTATTTTCTCTTCTCAGGAAATTGTGGCCGCTGAGAAGAAGAAACAGAGTGTTGCAGAGCAAATGATGCTAGACCACCTATGCAGGTGAGTCTTAGTTTTCATAGCAGTACAACTTACCATAGCTAAGACCTGGGAACAGCCCAAGTGCTCATCAGTAGATGAGTGAATAAAAAAGCTGTGGTACATTTATACCATGGAATACTATGCAGCTGTAAAAAAAGAAGGATCTCTTACCCTTTGCAACAGCATGGAGGGACCTGGAGAGTACTATGCTAAGCAAAATAAGCCAGTCAGAGAAAGATAAGCATCCAATAATCACAATCATACATGGAATATAATGGACAAAATAAACTCATGAACAAAAAGGATCCATAGACGCAGACACATGGAACAGTCTGATGAATCACAGAGGAAAGGTGGGGGTGGGTGGGAAGAAATTAACCCCAAAGAACTTATATGCATATATGCATAACCATGGACATAGAGTAGGAGCATGGGGCAGCTAGAAGGAGCCAATGGGGAGGGGGGAGAGGACATCTAAAATACTTTCAATAATAAAAATAAATTTAATTTTTTAATGGCTGATGTCTCATATCCTTGGCCAATCAATAATTTGCTAACTCAGACATTCCCAAACTTTCTCTGTTCAGTGCCCTCATAGTGTTTTAGTACTTTTTTTAAGCACTCGTAGGCTAATAGAAATACCCATTATTTCTATTTATTAAATATTTTTGTCTAAACAACTGAATGAGCATGCACTCCCTATTTCATAGCTTTGAAAAACCACACATGAATTAAAAGGGGACATATTTTTTCTCATTTTTAAGTAGCCATAATTACTTGCTAATGGGAGGCATGCACCTTTTGGGGGCACTGCACTGTCTCTCAAACCATGGACCTGCTTATGATGCTGCCACAGTCACTTTCTATTTCATGTGGCACCTGCTGTTTGCCACAGCACTGTAGGAAGCCCTGCTTTGCAAAGATGAGACTTCTCTGAAGGAGCGTGTCTTACTGAAACTGCGAATTACTTTGAGCTGGTAGTTCATGTGGTGTCTGATAAATACAAAATACTGTATCCCTCAGAAACTAAAAATATCCCGCAGTTTCCCTGGGCGTTCCCTGGGGCACCTCAGAGTGACTTGGTGTAGAGTTTGGGAGCAGTGGGACTAACTATAAGAATTGTAAAATGTAATCTAAGTTTCCCAACCCTTAGAAAACTATATAAAGATTTGGCACCAGCTGTGCTCAATTGCATAAGAACGTGTATCTATTGCAAGATTTCAAAAGAAAGAGGATTAGTCTAGGTCAAGGACATCTTCCAGAAGAGATAGGACAAGTTTAGCTTTAGAAAAAGTCTTTGATTAGGAGAGAAAGAATAATATTCCACATGCATATTTTTCAGTAAATTGTTTGAAATAAATAATAATACTTACAGTCTTCAGTGTGTCTTCTTCCATTATCTCATGAACTCACTTTGGTCACATTTTCATCCCCTCCATGCCACCACAGGGTGATTATCCATTCAATATCTGAGAAATATATAATTCTGATAGCCGTATAAATTTGCATTCATATATGGGCTTCTTCGACTGCCTACAAATACGTGAATGCTGGCAGAATGGATTCTCCCCCTTCATTGTCAGACTTTGTGTTTTGTGGCTTAGGGCTGTAATCAGTGATCCAGAGCAAAATTTAACCACTGAGAAACAAGAAGGTGCTTGTGTCCTTCCAGATTCAAACATAACACCTCTTCGATTTAGGAAAAGAACCCTACATGAAACCAAGTAAGAAGAGCTTACTTGTATAATTTGAGCATGTGGTATTTATACATGTATTTTTAAAAATGTTATTTTGTGTCCAACTGAAAAGTTTTTGTTGTTGTTGTTGTTGTTGTTGTTTGTTTTTTTCTTTTTGCAATTTAAAAGGAAATGGATTTTTGGAGTTTAGATTCTAGTCTTCCACTTTAAGCTACTGGGATAAAGTTTGCCCTTTAGGTTTTCTATCTGTAATTTAGGAATAACAGCCACAACTTTAAGAGAGAATAGATATGTCCTTCTGTATAGAATACCGTATATGATACAGTGACTGAGACATTAAATGTACACAATATATATTGGCTGAATCTCATTGGTGTGTATTACATTCAAAGTTAGTGTTGGTTAAAATTTATTATTTTGCATTTTACTTTGTAGTTTATAACAGCTTTAGACTGGAAAGGGCTTTCACAGGCCTCTGGTGTATTTCACTTACCTTTCTCAACAATTTCATTTGCTGCTAACTTCTAGCCTCAGCTTTAAAAGACAGAAAATCTACCAGTTCCACAGCAATTCTTTTATGTTTTCAACTTATAATTTTAATCTTTCTGTCTTATTCTTATTTTCTAGAAGCTTTAATTTTCATGGCTTCAAACATTTGAATGAATCATGCATTAATTTCCTACTGCTGCTGTAACAAATGGCCACAAACAGTATTATAAAGCAACACAAATACACCCTCTTTCAGTTCTATAGGTCAGGCCCATGGGCGGTGCCTTGACAGGTGGATTCCTTCTGGAGGGTCAGGGAAGAGCCTGTTTTCTTGTCTCTTTCAGCTTCTTTGCTTGGGTCCTGGCTCCTGGCCCTTCTCCCCTGTTCAAAGTCAGCAATGGCAGGGCAAGCCTTCTCATGTTATCTCACTCTGACACTCTTCTGTCTCACACGTCCCTCTGCTTCCCTCCTATAAAGACCCATGTGATGGCGCTGAGCCATGTGGATAATCCCAAGCATTCTCCTCATCCCCAGATCTTTAATCTACCATTTTATGTAAATTAAAACATTTACATATTCTGAGGATTCATTAGGACCTGGACATCTTTAGAGGACCATCATTCAACTATCACATATCTAAATCTGTCTCTCTTTTAATGTTTTATTAAAATAAATCCACTCTCACAAAGTTTTGGGTGTACGGCAAGTGACTTTTCACAGCCTGGACAAGTTTCTAGATCAAGAAACAGAACAGTACCTGTTCCCCAGCACCCCGTCCTTGGTGCTGTCTCCCAGATATTGTCCACATCCTCTGCCACAGCAGGTCGACTTCTCTGTCCTACTATCAGAGGTTATGCACTTCAATTAAATCACAAAATGTAGACTCTGTATCTGGCTTATTTTGCTTATGTTTGTACATTTTATCCATGTTATTATTAATAGGTGTCCTTTGTCTTCATTGCTGTACAGTACTTCATTGTATAAATGTACCAAAATTTACTTATATGCACATGCTTATGGACATTTGACACTTTATGAACAGTGTTGCCATGAACTTTTGCAAATGTATGTATTCATTTCTGCTCAGTACCTACTTATAAGTGGAATCATTGGACCATTTAGTATGCATGTGTTCAACTTTAAAAAATACTAGCAGCCTGGCTGTGGTGGCTCAGTGGTTGAGCATCGACCCATGAATCAGGAAGTCATTATTTCATTCTTGGTCAGGGCACATGCCTTGGTTGTGGGCTCGATTCCAAATAGGGGGTGTATAGGAGGCAGCCAATGCATGATTCTCTCTCATCATTGATGTTTTTATCTCTCTCTCCCTATACTTTTCTCTCTCTGAAATCTATATATAACATATTTTTTAAAATATTGCCAAATAGTTTTCCAAAGTGATTGCAATTAACACTGTCACCAGTCACAGTAAGATGATGCTAATTGAACCATATATTTGCTCCCGCTTGGTATTGTCTATATATTCTATTTTAGTTCTTATGGGGATGTATTGGTAATTTTAATTTATATTTTACTAGAGAATAATGAAGTTTAGTACTTTTACATATGTATACTGGTCTTCTAAATATGTCCTTATATGAAACTTCCCTTCAAATCTATTGGGTTATCTTTTTCATAATGGCTGTGGAACTTATTATACATTCTAGTTAGAAGTCCTTGTGGTTGCCTTTACATTCTCTTAATCAGAGTTCTTAATTTCAGTGTAGACTAGCTTGCCATTCGTTCCATTTGTTGTTAGTGTCCTTTGTATATTATTTAAAAAAATATTTTTTATTGATTTGAGAGAGAAAAAAGAATGAAGAGGGAGAGCAAGAAAGAGAATAATCCATGTAAGAGAGAAACATTGATTGGTTTCCTCCTGCACACTTCTCATTGGGGATTAAGCCTGAAACTTGGGCTGTGTCCTGACTGAGGATCCACCGGTGACCTCTTGGCTCATGAGACAATGCTCAGGCACACCATCAGGGCTTCTCTGTCTTCTTCAAGAAATTTATGTCGACCTAAACTCATTATCTCTCTGACTTTTAATGCCGTTTATCAAGTTGTTATAAATTCATGGTAGACTTCTAGGCTTTTTTTTTTTTTTTTGTCTCATCTACCTGTAATATATTTTTGCACCAATATAATTTTATCTTTTTTCTTGTTGTCATTGTTAATGCTCACCCCAGAACATTTTCTTCCATTGATTTTTAGAGCGTGGGAAGGTAGACAGGGAGGGGGAGAGAGAGAGAAACAGCTATGTGAGAGAGACATATCTATTAGTTGCCTTCTTCATGCATCCAGACCAGGGCTGGGGATCAAAGCTGCAACACAGGTATGTGCCCTTGACCAGGAAGCAAGCCCATGACTTTTTGATGTGGGGCCTGAAGCTGTTTCCATTGAGCCACACTGACTAGGGCTATAATTCCATCTTAATTAGTATTGCTTTATATTAGATACCTGTAGTTTGTTTATCTCCAATACTGTCTTAGCATACTGGGCCCTTTTCTCTTTAATAGAAATTTTGATTTAGTTAGTTTTGTTCTATGAAAAATTGGGAATATTGATAGCATTATTGAATTTATGGACTTCACCCGCTCCCTTTTTTATTAGTCCCAGTAGAAGAGGAGAAAAGTCTGCTTTATAGAGTTAGAAGCAGAAAATTGACATGTCTTCTCATCTTTTCCTTGGGAATTAGCTGCCTGCAGAAGTTCATATTCTGTTTTACAAGTACCTCCCCAACGGGAATGAGTGAATTAGTCTGTTAAATTCTAGCATCAAAGACTTAGCTTCTCATTCTGCATTCCTAAACTCAATCAATAATAAAATTCATATTTTGATATTGATCTGCTTAATTCTTATTTCTGTATTGATTAAGAACTTGGGTAGTTTATTGGTACTGCTTATCAGATACCTAAAAACCCAAAATGGAATTTTCCATTAATCATATAGATACCTGTTTACTTCTTTTATGTTTTCAAAAAGACATGAGACTCCTTGAAGCTATTACCTCAACTTAGCACAATTATACTGAGTTCTGTTCACCTTCCAGAAGCAATATAATATTGTATAATGGTTCTGAGCAAGATTTTTTGCTAGCTTTGCCATGTACTAACTGTATGTCTATGTAAAATTTATTTGTGAAATGGGGATAATAGTACTTACTTCACGGAGTTATTGCAACCATTAAATAAGCCAGATACACATTAAATTTATTTTAATAATAATTAGTGTCTAGGAAGTTCTCAATAAATGGTAGCTATTGTTAATGCTATTATTTTCTCAGCATTTATAATTATTTGTGGCACATAATGGGTATTTAAAAAGCACATTAATACTAATAGGTTAAGTTGAATTGAGATGATCAAGCTTTTATGGCTTTACCCTGTGTTTACAAACTCATTTTGTCCAAAGCCTCTTATTGACTGTATCTTGTTTACCTTTCATAGAGACCTGGATTTCATAGAGATAAAACATTTGAAGATCTTTATGTCCCTTGCTATATGCCTTGTTGTAATGTTATTATACCTGCAGGATATATCATAAGACAGTTTAGGAAGGCAATTAAAGATATATCACTGAATCTTAAGATTTCTTAACATAAAAGAGATTATTAGTAGTAGAGTGCCATAGTGTGTACAGTGGTGCTTTGCTTCATATTATTAAACTGAACTTTAAGAAGAGCAATCTTGGTGAGATCATTCAGTGCTGTCTGAAAGTCATAAAGATGAAATGACTGATTTGAGGTCTCATAGACCAATTCCAAGGCTAAAACCTCATTGAATTCTCTTTTTCACTCTTCTGTTATTTTGCTAAGGGATGTTTTGAGCTACCCTACTGAAAAGCTGACTGCTAGGGACTTAAACAAGTCACATTCATTTTTGATGTATAACTGGCCGCTGGGCGTTGTTGTTGGTTTTAGTTCAAGAGCTCAGAGCCGGCACAGTTCTGGGCCGACTCATTCCAGGTGTTACTGGCCTTTCTGACAAGGCTGCTTGATGGCTAGAGGGGCTCCGAGTGTCATATCCCTGCCATGTTCACAGTGGGGCTCTTCCCATGCCGCTCTCTGATCCGGACAAAACAAAGTCTTTCTTGGAAGTTTATTGGCAGAACTGGGTTGCTTAGTCACCTAAAATTGAAGAGGCTAAGAAAACAAATTCTATGGTGGAAGGCAAACAAGGAGAATAGGGTTAGAAATGCAGGTCGGGTTAGCCCTGCAGCACTGCCAGTCACAAATATGCCATCTTAGTTGGATATTTACTTTTATAGCACTACTAGAGGCCCGGTGCATGAAATTCATGCTGGGTAGGGTCCCTAGGCCTGGCTAGCAATCAGGGCCAATCAGTTTCCATGCTTCTCCGCCTCCCCCTTCCTCTTTTCCTCGATCCCTCAGCACCCCTCTGTCACTGGTTGCCTGCAGTGTTCCATGCCGCCCCCTCGTGGTCTGTGCACATCATAGCAAGTGATCAAGCTCCCAGTCTCCCAGATGAACTCTGAGGGGACAATTTGCATATTAGCCTTTTATTATATAGGATGCTACTATACATTCTAACATAAAAGTTGTTCATGTTTTACATCCCATATTTTAGGTTTATATCTTAGGTGTCTGCTACAATTATCAATCTGGAAAAAAGAGCTTACGTGGTCATCTTAATGCAATTTGTGCATTTTAAAACATTAACAACTTTTTTGGTACTTTTATTGTTTATATCAAATGTATGTAACTTTAAAATCATTGTTGACAAATGTGTTTCTTAACAGGATAAGAACATATTCTACATTAACCGAAAATATGCTTTCTCATAAAGTGCAATTTGACTGTAGGATCATATCAAGGTAATTATAATTTTATTAAACTTTTAAATTATAAAATGTATCCTTTTTTCAAATAAGAATGACAATAATGAGATTAAATTTGTCACAAACAAGTGAAAATGTGAATTTAGGACAAACATTTTTAGATAATATATATAAATCTGTTACAAAAATTATAGGAAGTATAAACCTAACTAAAAGCATTCTAATCAGAAGTTATTTAAAATGTGATTTTAAAATGTCTTTCAAAAAGAAGTAGAGAAGTGAATTTTTAAAAGGTATATATTACTACCAGAAGATTCTAAGTCATTAAAAAAAATAACCTTTATGTAAGCTGCTTTATATAATTTCATGTTAATGGTTTAAGTTAGGGTAGATTATTGATAGATGCAAGAAGATGACAAAGTAGATGATTCTTAACTCTCTTTTCTC